TGTCACATTCGTTGATTTTCGTATGTTGGGTCATCCTCACATCCCGGGGTAATCCCACTTGGCCGTGTGTGTGGCCCTTGTAACATGCTGTCGGACTTGGGTTGCCAGCATTTCGTTGGTGGTGGTTAAATTTACATTCATCGGGTATATTGGCCTGTAGTTATCTTTTTCTTGTGGTATCTTTGTCTGGCTTTGGTATTAACGCTGATCTCATGAGAGGAATTTTGGGAGTGTTCACTTCTTTTCAGTTTTTTGGAAGAGTTTAAGAAAAATTGGTGTTACTACTTCTTTACGTATTTGGTAGAATTCACCCGCGAAGCCATCTGGGCCTGGGGCTTTTGGACCTGGGTCTGTCTTTGTTGAGAGGTTGCTCACTACTGATTCAATCTCCATACTAGTTATGGACCTGCCCAGATTTCTGTTTTGTCAAGGTTTAGTCATAGTAGGTCTTATGTTTCTAGGAATTACCCACTTCTGCTAAGTTTGTTGCTGCTCCCTTCTCCATAGTCGTCCCTGAGGACCCTTTATGTTTCTCTGGCATCAGCTGTAGCGTCTCTTCTTTCATTCTGGTTTCATTTATTGGAGTCTTCTCCTTTTTCTCTTATAATCTAGCTAAGTTGTCAATCTTCTTTTCAGAAAACTAATTCTTAGTTTTGTTAATTTTTTCTATTGTTTTTCTATCCCCTATTTCATTGATTTCTGCTCTAATCTTTATTCCTTCCTTCAGCTAAATTTGCACATAGATTGTTTTTCTAGCTCCTTGAGGTGTGAAGTTAGGTTGTTTTGAGATCTACCATCTTTCTTAATATAGGTGTTTACCGCTATAAACTTTCTCTTAGTGCTGTTTTTCTACGTCCCATAAGTTTTGGTATGCTGTGTTTCCATTGCATTAGTCTCATGATATTTAAAAATTTTTTTTTGACCTGTTGGTTATTCAGGGGTGTGTTAAGTTCCACATATTTGTGAAGTTTACAGTTTTCCTCCTGTTACTGATTTCTAGTTTCATACCATTGTGGTATGGGGGATACCTGTAATCAAAAAATCAAATTCTCCTTTAATTTAGATATTAATCTTGCAAATAATATGAGAAAAATAAAAACAACACAGTCAAAAACTTCGTACATTGAAATTATCAGCTAGATAACGAATACGTTAATATATTCATATAAACACATGGTGGGGTTTGAAATGTGAGAAATGAGCAGGAGTGTGTAAGAAAGACCAAAACATTGAGAAAGAACAAGAAAGAACCGCAGAGTGAAAACGGCGTGTGAAAACTGTAATCAAAGTGACAGGAGACTAATTTAACATAGACCCGTACGGCAGAAAAGGGGCCGGCCAGCCGGGAGGCGGAGCGGAAGTCCCCGTGTGGACCACGCTCAGAGAGGCAGGGTCTGTAAGCTGGACGAGGGGGAGGTGCAGCCCCGTGCGGTGACCCGGCGGCCCCTGGTCCAGCTGCCCCGGACCGCCCTGTCGCGTGCCGGCCCAGACGCTGTTTCTGCTGCGCGCCGTCGGCTGAGCCCAGGGGCTCGTGCGGCCACGGCCACGCTGTGTCCTCGCGTCCGGCCGCCTCTCCTGATGTCGGCTGCCTCGGATGCCTAATGCCCATGTCAGTGGCCAGAAAACTGCGGCCGAGGGCCACACGTGGTACGTGCTCTGTAAACACGGCTGACCGTTCGTGCGAGTGGCCCTGTGGCTGCCTTCGTGCCGCGGGGGTATGCAGCCCTCGTCCCCGAAGCCCCCGTCCCCGAAGCCCTCGTGAGTACGAAGCGCATGGGTCCCTTACTGATACACGCGAAGGACCAGACTGCGTTTGAGAAGAGGCAGAATCGGGTATGTGATACCATCCGTCAGGTGTTTTTTTCCTTTTTTTCTGCTTTCTCAGATTAGCAGATGTTCCTTTGGCCAGTCTTTCAAGTTCTAGCTTCTGCTCAAAGGAACTCGTGCCTTCGGCCAACACCTCAGTATCCTGGGCACCCAGCATGCAGAGGTCCCTTCTGTACCTTCACGACCGACACTGGTCTTGAGAATGAAAAGGGCCAGGCTCTGATGTTTCCCAGCTTGTTTTCTGTTTGATTTTCCATCTGCTGCTTTTCACTGCCTTCCGAGAGAACATCCGCGTGTCTGAGGAAAGGAACGGAAATCTGGGCCTCTGCCACCGCAGCCCTCAGCCCTCAGCCTCGGGGTCGGAGTAAGAGAAGGGAAGGTGGCTAACAAACGGCCCAGAAAACGAGCTGAGGACCAACGTCTGTTACGAGCATGTGCATTGCCCTTCTTTGCAGAGCCCACAGGCCCGGCAAGCCGGACGCGCGGAGGCCCAGAGTGTCCCAGAGCTCAGACACCGCCTCGGACACCCGGGCCTCCAGGCGGCCCCCAGAGCAGCTCCGGGCAGCGGCTGGGCTGGGCTTGGTGCTGGGCTTGGTGCTGGGCTTGGCACTGGGCTTGGCACTGGGCTTGTGGGCTTGGTGCTGGGCTTGGCGCTGGGCTTGGCGCTGGGCTTGGTGCTGGGCTTGGTGCTGGGCTTCCTGAAGGCCGGCATGATGAAGACAGGTTCTCGGCCTCCCCAGGCCTGGCCGAGGGTGGGACAAGAAACAACGATTAGGACACGAAACAATGATCCGCGGGCGCCGGGCTCCATGATGAAGACAGGTTCTCCGCCTCCCCAGGCCTGGCCGAGGGTGGGAGAAGAAACAACGATTAGGACACGAAACAATGATCCGCACCCCGGCAGGGACGGAAGCGAGACCCCAGCACCGCGGGAGGGGACGGGACTGGACGCCAGCCGCCGGGTCGGGGAGGGAGGCCGCTGAGCAGAGGCCATGCGAGCCCAGTGGGGACAGACGCGCCGTCCAGGCACGCGGCCTTCCCTTCCCCGTCCGGGGCAGCGCACAGCAGCAGACCTTCATGATCGACGCAGAAAACACAGCCACTCGCCACCCCCTCAACAGCAAGGCACCCACATTTCCATCGAGGGTACAGCTGGTCACACCACTTCCCAGCGCCCCGCAGAGTCCTCGTGAGGACGGCGCACGCAGCGGGGAAGACGTCTGAGCGGAGCATCGGCTGCAGCAGAACCGCGGAGCCGCCAGCCGTCTGAGGGTGGCCGTCCCCGAGTGCCACCGTGACGTCGCCGAGGTCTTTCCGCGCGAGACCACAGGGCCGAACACCGCTCGCTCCCGGAGGCGGGGCCGCACCTGCCGCCAGCAGCGTGAGCTAAGAAGCTAAAATCTAGTCGCAGTGACTGGAACGTTTCAGTGGGAGACTGAAAAAGTCTCGTTTCCATAGTTCCGACGCGGCACATAGTTGACACTGACGTGAGGGGGGACCAGCGGGCGCCTCTCGCCGCCTGCAGACGGGCGCGAAGGTGTTGGTCACGGCGCACGCGGAGACGCAGCGACGGGGCATCACCTCCGCCCACACAGCTGCCTCTTCTCCTCACTTTAATACATTTTATTTTAAAATGTGCTTCGGAAAGCGGCACTGACGGGGGAGAGAACCGAGCATGTCTTTTTTTCTACCATCACATTTCCTTTTCATTTCAAAGCAAAGCTTCACTCGATTAAAAAAAAAAGAGAAGAAACACATTAGAAATAATTTTTGAAACTCTTATTGCCATTAAATAACAAGCAAATTAAATATTTTGTATAATTTCTAGCTTCAATCAACTCACCAAAAATCCCTCCAGTTACTATGAGCATGTCGTGTTTTGTTTTATGGTTACTTAGGTGGAATTGAAAGGCATTAAATGATCTGATTTTTAAGTAAGACCATTAAATATGGTCAATTAGAAAATTTTCTGTCGTTCACCTGGAAAGAATGAACTTAGAACAAGGCCGACGATTGACCGAAACCTTTTACAGGTTCACATTAGGAGAGAAACGGTTTTCTGTGGCGTTCGGCGGTTCTGCTGCGGGAGGAAAGCTCCAAAGCACTTCTTATCGGGTGTTTCCGGAGTTAGAGCTGATGGCAGCACAGGAGGCTGTGGTCTGATTCGTAGGTGAGGGCGCTGAGCCTCGTTCGTCTGGGTCACGGCCTTCCCTGCGACTTCCCAGCACACGCGACTCCTGACGCTACGTTGCCACCGTCATCCTGCTCAGTTTCGTGTTTCCGACCATGAAAAGATCATTTAGTTTAGGGTCGAAGCCAAATAGACCATTTCCTTGGCAGCGCCCCCACGTACTGGGCCCCCCGAGACGTGCAGCCAGGTGCAGCCGGCTGGCCCGCGGCTGGCGGGGGCTCCAGTGCCGGTCCCTCCACGCCCCTGCTGTTCCGTTTTCCCGGTCTCCCTGACACTCGGAGGGCACGAGCGGCCGGCGGCGCCTTCGGGAGCCGCCCTGCGTACACAGAGCTGGCGGTCCCCCTGACACTCGGAGGGCACGAGCGGCCGGTGCGCCTTCGGGAGCCGCCCTGCGTACACAGAGCTGGCGGAGGCGGCTGTTCTGTCTGCCGTGGGCCTGGGGCGTCTGGGTGCAGGCGGCTCCACGCGGCCTTCTGAGCGAGGGGCAGAGGCAGGTTTAGGAACGGCGTCGATGCTCCAGGCCCGACGCGTTCTGAAGTGTGAGGTACGTGTGCACGATCTCTTTGGGCTCCAGGGTCCCGCAGACCCAGCATCAGGAGGGAAGCGAGCCGGCAGCTGACCCGCGGCCGCGTGTACCGGCGACGAGGCCGCAGGACGGCTCGGCCGCCTGCGCTGAGGCAGAGCCACTGCGGGTCACGTTCCAGCCTTTTCCAGGTGTCTGGTCCGTGACTCTGTCGGACTTTGGCCTTTCCCCCCGTCGTGGGGCAGGGGCACTGGGAGGGGAGCTATTCCGGTCCTTTCTGCCACACAGTCATTCCTTCTGGCGCTGGCGGATCCCAGCCCCAGCCCTCCCGGGCCTTGTCGTCCCTCCTCCCCGTCTCTCCTTCTCGGGGTGAAGTGGAGGTGAGCGGGACGTGGGGGGAGGGCGTTCTCAGTTACTTCTCCCTGCGGAGCCTCTAACAGCACGTGTTTGTCGCCTTAGGACTACCAAGAGGCCTCCAGCTTGGAGCAGTTTGTAACTCGGTTTCTACTGAAGGAGACCTTGAGTCAGCTGCAGTCTCTGCAGAATTCTCTGGAATGTGCCATGGAAACCACTGAGGAGCAAACCCGTCAGGAGAGGCAAGTTCAATGTGCCCGCGTTGCGTCTTTCATGGCTCTGCGTGTGGCAGAACAGTGAGGGCCGTCGTCTTCAAACTCGTGAAAACTAAATGAGAATGAGCAGATTTTTTTTTTAGCTGGATGTTTAATACAAAAATTATTACTCTGCCAAGGTGGTCACGTCAGAAGGGACTTTTCAAGAGAGAAAGCGTAGACTTAAGCAGAAGGCCGCGGCGGCCCCTGAGTGCTCACCTCGTGTTGCCTCTGGGAAACACTGTTCTGTTTCAGTCTCCACTGAGTCGACGAAGTTTAATTGAGACTATAGCAGACGGGGAGACTTGCAGGCACGGGGAACATGAGACGCGTTTGACTTAGTCTTAGCTAAAGTCTATGTCATAAGTCTATTTAGTGTCACGAACACCAAAACGGTAATGCAGGGTACGAAGCGCGAAACCCCATGGAGAAGAGGTAAGCGAATCGCCAGGGGACCGCGGACGGCAGGAGGCTCCACGCGGACCGTGGGCTGGAAGGCGGCATCACGGAGGGTCCGCCGACGTTTGAGCTCCTCTTGCTCACGTGTAATTTTAAAATGTGGAAACGACGAGAAAGCCTTCCTGGTGAAGTGAACCAGGCTCTCATGGGGGCCCCAGAATTCAGCCTAATTACGGAAATGGGGGGAGTGAGTGATGGGGAAAGATTTCAGACTCCAATGCCACCAGTAGATGCTATGGAGAGATAAACGCGATGTTATGATCGTTGTGTGAATAAAGGCACTGATGTCAAAGATAAACCTGAATTAGATGCCAGCAGATGTCAGGATAACTCAGTCCACAGTGGGTGCTTTCTCGATCTGTCATCATTCAGAGAAGAGCTTGACAAAACTCTTGCTTACGCAGCGTGTTTTCGCATGTGTTACTTTAAACCTGTAGATATGGTTTATCTAACTTTGATGTTTTAAATTAGGAAGAAGCACACAGTAAGCTTTTGAACAGGTTAATAACAGACTGCTCTGTAGGGCTGATTTTTCTAAACAAATGGATGCGTCCATAGTTATTAGGACAGCTCAGGAAAACAGACTTTTCACCCGTGCGTTTAGGGTGCTGCAGGTGCGTGAGCTGCACCACATTCCAACAAAGAAGCCCGCACTGCGACAGCCTGCGAGCTCACGCGGCCCGGAGACGCGCTGCGCGCTGCTCAGTGGGTCTGCGCAGCATTTTCACGTGATAAATGTCCCGTTTTCACTGCGCTGGGCGACTCCATGCCAGATGGCAGAGTGTAACCAGTAGGTTCAGAGGAGCAACAGCCCAGCCCCCCAGGCTCGAGCAGGGGTAACCAAGCGTCCTGAAGCACAGTGCAACCGATTTCATGTTCCCGAGGAGAAAAGGAGGCTGGCATGCTGTTTCTTTTGTTTAGATTTTTTGGACATAAAAAGAGTTCTCCTTTTTTAGAGTCAGTCATTTGCCGCCTGGCCTGTGGGCGGTTTCCGTGGTCACCGCTGTGAACTGCGCTCCGCACTCACCACCGTGCGGTAACCGCCACAGGCAGCCTCGAACTCCTGTGACCGCGGCCGACAGCTGCAGAGCAGCTGCGTGTGACGAGCACGATCACCGTTTATGAGAAGTAGAAGGTGCTCAAGAACCAATGAATCTGTTATTTCTAGGTTTCTGCTCAAAAACAGCTTGGGAGAACGGGAATTACTGTGTCAGTTTGGGGAGCGCGTAGTATTAGACTGAGGCACCTAAGGCTGCCCAATCCCGCCCCAAACCCGTGATGCCCCTCCCCGGGGGTGAATATGCAAACCAGAGGGGGTGCTGGCTGATTCTTTCCCATGATGCCAAGCAGGAGACTAGTGAAGAAGCTTCCCGGGGAGACACCCCAGCCGATGTTTGAAGGGGCGATCTCCCCGCCCTCCCAGACAGCCTGCTCCTCATCCAGCTGCTCCCCTGGTCTGGTCACTGCTTGAGCAGCACCTCCTCTGGGGAGCCCCCGGCCGCGTGCCGTCTCTGTCCCTTGGCTGTGTATTTCTCATCAGACTTAGTCTCTGGATGGCAGGGGCTTTGCCTTGTCGCCCTCCACCTGGCACCAGAGGGGCAGTGGACAAGGTCCTGAGGCAGCGAGGAGACCAACCTCCTTGGCATCTGGGCTTGAGAAAGGTCTTCCGAGCTACACGGACGCATCTGCACTCAAAACAATCTGTCGTCGGCAGCCGTCAGTGGAGGGAAGACGTCGTGAGCCCAGGTTCAGGGCCGTGAATCTCACGTGGTAGGCGGTCAGGTTTGGGGTGGGGAGCAAGCTCGGCGGGCGGAGGTCAGACCGTGCCACAGGCACCCATCGGTCCTCATCACACAGGAGGACTCACGAGCCCGGCCCATGGAGGGTGCAGCTGTGACGCCACCGCAAACCCCAGGCTGTCAGAATGTGCTTCACTTCAGCATCAGTATGACTTTGGGGTTCATATTTGTGAAACGAGGGGTGTGAAGACTCCTCGGAATGGGACAGTGCTGAGAAGCCCTTCAGCCCGCTGCCGGCCCCGGGGAGGGGCCGCACAGCGTGCCCCGGGCTGCAGAGATGCCTCAGCACGTTGTGCTGGGCAGAACGTCCGTGTCTGCTCACGTGAGAACAGCAGTCCACAGAGACGTGTGTGCAGCCAGGCGCCATAGAGCGAGGTTTCCAGGCGGCGTTCTCAGCACTCCGTGCCTGGCCTTAGTTCCATGATATGGAAGTTTCCCTCTGTAGCTGTGGTCCCCAACCTTGGTGGTACCAGGGACTGGAGCTCCCATGAGACTCTGGGGCTGAGGCGGTGACGACACGTGATGCTTCGCTCACTGGCTTGCAGCCACTCACCTCCTGCTCTGCAGCCCGGCCTGGCCTGGGGCTTGGGGACCCTGCCCACCTGCATACAATTCTCTCCCTCACAAGCTGTGGGTCAAATTGTATGTGAATTTCTTTTTTATAATGGAATCTGCAAGTTTACTCTGTATTCCAAAGTTCTGCTTTATCCAGGTTGAGGATTTGTTCCTTCTGGGCTTGGACATTATTTTTTTCTTCTTTTGAGGGTTGTCTATTTTAGAAGTAGGGAGAGGCTTTCATGTTTTCTGCACGTGATGATAAAATTCAGGCGCGTTCTCTCAGCTTGAATGTAGAGACGGACTGCTCTAAGCACCTACTCCTGCGACCACCAAAACTCACAGAAAATTCATTTTTTTATGCCACAAGAAAATCTATAGGAAGCGTCCATTAAAGATGAGAGAGTAAACGTATATGATTTCTTTTGCTCTCTCCCTAAACCCTTCAAAAAATGGCATTAACCCACTTCCCGTTTGCCTGGCAGCTCGCGCGGCTGCACCGTGTACCGAGGTAACTCGCAGGCTGCAGCCCTCACCTCACCCCCACGGTCTGCCATGAAATATCTCACTTTCATTATTATTTTTCCATTGCTCTAGCGTAGCGACAGCCTTTGGAAACAAATGACATCATTCTATTTGTAGCATTCTGTTTTTGGTAGTGGTTTTTCCACTTACAAAATATAGTAATTCTCAATCGCTGAAAATGTCAAACCGTAGAAAACACAGCATTCCCACGCTGTGTTCAATGAACACTGGCAACAAGCGCTTTTTTTTTTTCTAAATGGGAAAAGGCTTAAAAATGCCTGGGCAAAAAGGAGCCCTGAACCCACAAAGACAGAGGGGCCCAAGGGCAGGGAGGGACCGTGGGGAGGGGGCGCAGCGGTAACTGACTTGGGGGCGCCGAGGGGCGGCCCACCCCCGGTGGGGGGGCTGCGGGTCTGTGGACAACGCTGCCCAGGGCCACAGGCCACGTCCCCAGCCCCCAGAAAGCCGCTCGACCTGCGCTTTCTGGGGAAGCCGAACAGAGCGTCAGTCACCTGGACGACTGGGGGTCGGGCACAGCGCTGAAGAGTGAGGCCAGCGTGAAAGTCTGCACGCTCGGTGACGTGTGAGCCCCCTGCACGCTCCGCTCCAGGCTCTGGCACCGGGCGCACAGACCCCGCCGGGTAAGAGCGTGTCACCTGATGGCCAGGCCGAGCTGGGCCTCTCTGCAGAGGCCGCGGGTCAGAGGCCGCCCCCCACACACAGATTCCCGTCGCCCGCTGAGGTCCTTCCTCCGAACGGGCAGGGGAACGAGGGAAACAGACTAAAAGGAGCTTAGAAGGAACGAATGCACTGAGCAGAAAACTTCCGAAGGAAGTCGCAGTGCCCTTCGAAAGTGAGAAGACACCGCGTTCACGCAGGAAGGGCGGGATGCTACTTTCTCGATGGACACGCGAAGCTCAGTGAGGGCCGCTTGGAAATTATGACCGCGGAGATTAAAACCTCTGAGGTGTGATGACGTTTCCACAAAGATGAAAAATGGGAAAGACCAAGAAAACTATCAGTTAAGTCCAAGAGGCCCAATACTTGAAAAGTAGTAATTCCAGAAAAAGCAAAGGAGAGAGAGGGTCAGAGCAGGGACCCCCAGAACGCGGACGTGGGGTGCTGGGGCCCCTTCCCTGGGTGAAGAAGTGTCCTCTCTGTTCAAGGCGCGGGCCGAGCACTCCGGAGGTCCTGTCCACTCAGCGGCCGGGGAGGCGGTCCGGGCGCCGGGTCCAGAGGTTCGGCGGCTTCTCCCCCGGCGGCCCGCAGCTCGTGGCCAGCAGCCCAGGTAAGGCAGCCGCGCGCCGCTCCTCGGGGCCAGCTCAGTCTCAGCACATCGACCCGCCATCTAGAAGGCGTCTGTAACGGCGGGTGTGGGGTTGCCGTCCGAACCCGTGGCTGAGTCCTGCACCGAGAGGGGTGGCAGTCCTTGCCATGGGCTCTGCCCGGTGGGAGTGGGCAGGGTGGGCGTGGGGACCTCTTCCACAGAGCCCTCAGTGCCCCGGCCCCCAGCCGGCCCGGCCGGTCTCGGTCCCCAGCAGGAAAGGGGCCTTGTTCCCATTCATCATCGGGCTCACGGCAGAGCTGGTGGCCGTGACGTCTGTGATACTCTTCAGGGTTCCCTGGACGTGAGCCACAACAGTAATTGTTAGGTGTTACATTTGAACCATGTTGTTTACAATTACTCTAATATTAATCTGGAATATGCACACTTGCGCTGCTCAGCATCAGAGAATGCAGATGCATGTGCACACGCGTGTGCGTATATGTGCACTTAGCATTTGAGCACGTGGTTTTAGCACAAGTGAATCTTTAGCGAATGTTTTTGAAAATCAGCTCACTAACTAAAGCCTGTGGTCACACGTGCTCGAGAGACTTGGAAGTGACCTTGAGCGCTGCCCTGTTTGACCCGAATAGCGTGTGAGATGGGTGTCAGTGTCTCCACCCCCCAGGAAGCGAGGTGACCCGTCCGAGGTCAGGTGGGTCATTGGTCCACTCTTACTGTGGCGCAAACAGCTCAGAGTCGCAGAGATCACGGACGCAGGTCCCCGGTTTCCCCTCTGGGTCCCTGGCTGACTGGGGTCCGGGTGCCCTCACGGGACGTGGCTCCAGGCCGTGCTTTGGGTTCGGCTCTCCTGGGATCGGTGACCACGTGGGGCGGCTCCTTGGCCTGTGGGCGGCAGAGTCGCCCAGCTCTGGGCAGCGCTTCTGCTCGCTCTGCACGCGCCGCCTGGAACCACGTGGAGGGCAGCGGGCGGCACACGCAGGGTTCGTGACGGACGAGGCAGGGACGGCTGCAGTTCACCACGCGACCAGCAAGTGGCAGCACTAGGCTCCGAGTCACAGTGGACGACCCAGGACGCCAGGACGCTCTGCAGGGCCCCACCCGGGTGTCGCTGGCGGCGGCGGCGCAGGGCTGCCGTGGTGTTGAGCCCGGTGCCGCGTGCAGACGTGTGTGTGCGTGGACATGCGTGTGCGTGGACATGCGTGTGCGTGGACGTGCGTGTGCGTGGACATGCGTGTGTGGACGTGCGTGTGTGTGGACTTGTGTGCCAGGCGTGCGCCACGTGCGGCGTGCACATGCGTGTGCGTGGACATGTGTGTGTGTGGACATGCGTGTGCGTGGACATGCGTGTGTGTGGACATGCGTGTGCGTGGACATACGTGTTCTCGTTTCGTCCTGACGCCGACTCTGCGGCCGGCGATGTCACAATTCTCACCTCAAAAACAAGCAAACTGAGGCCGGAGGAGTCAAGTCGTTCGACCAAGCTCAGCGGGCTCTGGAGTCTGCACGCCCGGCCCGTGTCCGGACGCGGCGCAGTGTCCCTGTGCCCTCGGGCTCGTCCCCCTGGAGGAGACGCCGGCCACCGTGCCTGAGTCCTCGTTTAGCTTGTGACGGTTCGTACCTCGCTGTGGTCGGGGCCGTGATCCCCCGGCCCCAGCAGTGAGTGTGGAATGGCCGACCGATGCTTTCTCTGCCGCGTTCAAAAGAGAAACCGACCACCTCGTGCTGCGGTCACAGTGTCTCAGCAGGATCTGTCACTTGGAAAGTCAGAGGTTGGACCGACAATGCCATGAAAAACAGACGCGTGGAAACGAGCCCCGGGAAGCATGGCGCGTGGGAGCGAGCACCTCAGGGAGCGCTCGGGGCGTGTTCCCGCTGCGGGCGGGTCGGCGGCCCCGCACCCCGAAACAGCTCTCCTGCCCTGTGTGGAGTGTGACGCTGCCCTCCTGACTCCCCAGGCTTCTTAGAAGAGGACAGCCGGTGGGCGACCCAGATCGACAGACTCCAGAGGCTGATCGACAGGCTGGAAAAGAAGGTGGGTGCCCCTCACCCGTCCCCTCCCGTCCCCTCCGTCCCCTCGCCCGTCCCCTCCTGTCCCCTCCTGTCCCCTCCTGTCCCCTCGCCCGTCCCCGCCCGTCCCCTCCCGTCCCCTCCTGTCCCTTCATGTCCCGGAGCGTCCCCTCCCGTCCCCTCCCGTCCCCTCGCCCGTCCCCTCCTGTCCCCTCGCCCGTCCCCTCGCCCATCCCCTCCCGTCCCCTCGCCCATCCCCTCCTGTCCCCTCGTCTCCCGCAGACCCTGCCCGGGTCTGCGGCCACCCCGCGGGATGGAGTCCCAGCCAGGATCTCCGTCCCCTCGCCCGTCCCCGCCCTTCCCCTCCTGTCCCCTCCTGTCCCCTCGCCTCCCGCAGACCCTGCCCGGGTCCGCGGCCACCCCGCGGGATGGAGTCCCAGCCAGGATCCCAGGGATGCTGTGCGTGGCGCTTGGTGGTTACCTGGGCTTCTTCCTACAGCAAGCGTGGAAGCCCGAACCCATCCCCACCCTGTCCACTCCCAGCCCAAGTCGTGTTTGAGCCGGAACTTGGGGCTTGAGGTTGCATCAGGCTCTCATGTTGTCTGACTCCGGCCGTCCATGATGCTGTGGGCACCTCTGTGGGTGACCTGGCTGGTGTCTTGGGGACATTTCACAGTGATTCAGGGAGTGGCTGTGTGGGACGCTGCAGGATGAGCTCGCACTCGCAATGCCTAGAGGTTAGCACACTTGGAGCACGGGAACCAGGCGAGCTGGGGCGTGATGCCGCGTCGTCGGGATGTGTGCTGCGTTTCACTGACGCCGTGCCGGGCAGTCTGACGGCGTGGTGACATCCCCCATAGACGGCTCTGCTGGAGGAGGCAGCCTTTGCGGGCAGGGGAGGGCGTCCTGTGCATGCCAGGCACCATGCGAGGGACAGTTCCGTTTGAAACCGTCGCTGGCTCCGCAGGACCCAGTCGACCCGTGAGGTCTGCCTCCCAAAACTGTGAGCTACATGCCAAAAACAGCGAGCTGGGTGTTTTCAGGCCTGTGGTAGCGCGGTACCACGGTGCTCGTCAGTGCTCAGGAAGTGCTGGCCGCGCGGCTGAGACGTGACGGGAGGCGGGGGGAGCAGGAGTCACTCGAGGCCGTGGTCACTGCCAGTGGGTTGTGTAGGCCGGACCTTGTGTGGCAGGAGAGCTGAAGTAGGACCTTAAAAATGATGACGACTAAGAATTTTGATTGCAAGCAACTAAAACTACCTCTTTAATCAAAAAGAATTTTCTGGAAGGCTATGGGAGTGCTCACGGAATCACCAGACAGCCTAGAGACCTGGACTCAGGACCAGTCCGGAGACAGTAACCGCAGCGGTCTAGGTGAGCGAGGAATGTGAGGAGGGTCCGGCGGCCTTGCTGGCCCCATGCTGGCCCCTCGTCAGGGAGAGGGGGCAGGGCACTGCGCTGAAACGGGGAGACGGCCGTGAATGGGAGCCGAGGAGGTGCTGGTCAGCTGACAAGCGTCCCCTGTGGCGCAGTGAGGACTCAGCAAGCAGCAGCTGGAGAGGCTGCTCTGGTCAGGCTGGCGGGGACGTGGAAGGCGAGTGACAGATGGCCTTTGGTGGCAGACGAGGGTCAGACTGGGGCTTGGACGCAGTGGAGGCATTTGCTACTTTTCCGCAGATAAGTGACAGAAGCCACAGTCCTTCCGATAGGATCTGGGACAGCAGGCTCACAAAATGCATTCGGACGAGAGAAGGGGAGTCAAAGCTGGTGTAGCCCGGAGCTCCCGGGACCAGGCCGGAGGGGCCTGGATTAAGCGACTGAAGAGAGATGGCAGGTTTGATGAGCCGGAGCGAGAGGGACAGGACTGCTCCTGGGCACGGCGGGTCTCGGCCGGGAGACAGGCGGAGGTGGCGTGTGAGGTGAGGGGACAAGGTGTCCCTCGTTGGCTGTGCTCATTTCAGACACAAGGGCAGAAACTGAGACACTAGCAGGTGAGAAGTCGGGCCCACAGGCCGAGACTGAAGAGCCACGTCCACGGGGATGCCCCGAGGGTGGGCGAGGCCTCGGAGAAGGGCTGGTGTGACAGGGCCGCGTCCAGGGCCCGTGACCTCGGGGAGCGGCAGCCGCTCGGTGCACAGCATCCATCCGGTTCACATCGCCCAGTTCCTGGGCAGAGACCCCAAGGAGGGAGGTGCCAGGGACGGAGACCCCGGGGAGAAGGGCAGCCTCCGGGGTCCCAGGCCAGGGGCGCGAGGTCCGAATGTCCACGAACCTGGCTGGGAAACCCAAGCTCATCACAACATCTGGACGCAATTGTTAAATAATCTGGGTTCATTTAAAGAACACACGTATCTCTTTTTAAAATCGTTTTTGGCAAACCTGTCTTTATTTGGCGTCTTAAATGTATATAGTTATTTTTAAAGGAATAGCTCAAACATAGATCATAGCTTTTTCCCACTTTAAACCAAAGTATCGTCATGTCTCTTTCTTTTCTAAACGGTTCTCCCTCCCTTCCTGTGAAGCGTTGGGTTTGGGGGGCAGGTCTGAGGGTTGCCGGAGGCACAGCGTGCGGGTCGCGGGGCTCAGCGGGAGCGGCCTTCGTGAGCGCAGAAGCGGCCCAGGCTCCGTGTCTTCCACGCGCGCTCTGTGCTCAGCCTCGTCTTTAGAGAAAACCACCCAGCCGTGGCCGAGCGCACGTCGCTTCTTGGCTGGCCGTCTGGGTCCTGCCGTGGTTGGCACCAGGGTCTAGCTCCCCGGGAAAAGGAAGGGCGCCTGCTGTGGGCACTTCCCGCCTGCCCTGTGGACCACGCCGGCACCACTGGGATGCGGGCTCTGGAAACTTCTGCAGATTTCCGCAGGCTTTTCCTCTTGCCGTTTCAGCCTTTACAAGTGTTTGTGACAAAACATTGAGATTATATCTCATGTTTTGCTTGAAATATGCAGAAAACATCTTTAATGTTCAAGGAAACAACGGAACGTCTTGGTTCTTCGTGCAGTCCTAAGCGTGACGCCAGACCGCAGGACGTCCCCGTGTGAGGGGTGTGATTGAGGGTGCAGCGCACACAGCTTGCTTCGGGTTCCACAGCCCGGGTCCAAGAAGGCAGAACTGAAGAGGGTGCCGAGCGGCTGTGAGGGAACAGCAGCCGGGGACCCCTGCTGGCAGCCACTGTCCCCTCTGCTCTGTGCGCATGGTGCACGGTCGCTTCCGCCGGGGGCGGCAGAGGGGGCACCGGTCAGCCGTCCTCATGCCCCTGGCATTTGCCTGGTTTCCGCGTCAGGCCGGCTGCTGTCCGGGTGGTGGGAACCAGGGCTGAGCACAGGCTGAGGTCGGGCCCTCAGTGTCTGGGGAGACAGAGAAACCCCAGTAAACCCGCGAGACAGGGTGACGTCAGACGGTGGGAAGTGCTACGAGGGAAAAGATGGGGCGACGCTGACGCGGGCGACCTGGGAAGGGGGCTCTGGGGAGGTGGCTCTGAGGTGCGACAGGCCAGAAGGAGCCAGGGAGACGAAGACCCAGAGGCGAGGAGCTGGGGGCAGAGGGCGCAGCGGCGAGAACCCGCGGGCGGCTGGGCGGCGCCACTAGAGCCACCCGCGCTGCGCGGTCTGGGCTCGCGGCTGCACCTGCCTCGCTGGCGTCCCTGGGGACGATCGTCACAAACCCTCGGGCTTTTCTAGTCGTCCTGCGTCGTGAGGAAACGCTAATAATATTTCCGTTCGCTGCTGATGCGCTTTTTAACAAATCCGAGTTGGCACCAGGCCTCCCGTGTTGCGGCAGTGGCCCCAACGCCCCGCTTTCCCGCGCTGCTGTCCGCGCCCCGTCCCTGCCGCGGCGCCTCGCGTCAGCGCTTCTCACGGGCCTCAGTGGACTCTGCGTCTCTGAAACGGCTCCTCGCAGGCGATCCGATGGGTGAGAGTCTTCACGGGAACGGCTCAGTTTAAAAAATCGGAATTATTTCATCTCCTTTCAGAGAATGTGTTCTTTTGGTTCAGTACTAGCCATAAAAAAGCTGCCACTCAAATACATGGTGTTTCTTTTCATTAATTTCTGGTCTCCCCGCCCCCATTTCTCCCTCTAACCGAAGGACCTCAAACTGGAACCACTGGAAGAAGAAGTTATTGAAGAGAACACTAAATCTGTAAGTACTTTTTCTAAGTCAAAATTTTAGAAATACGTACTTTGGAAACATTTAGTTTCTTCAAAATTAGTTACCATCTCAGAGAAAATTTTCAAAAGTATAAGTAATCCATGGGCATATTTCATTTTGGATGGCTAAGAGGTATTTTCAGCTTGTGATTTGTGGAACCCTAACGCCTCCTGCACAGGGCTTCTGTGAGAGCAGCTGGCGTGCAACGCGTACAAAAGGCAGTTATGCCTGTGTCGGTGGATGGGTTGTTAGTAACTGAGTGAACGTGACCGGTGCAGAGGGCGGCATTCCGCTCGCAGCGTGTGCACGTCTGGGGAGCCCTGCAGGACGCGCGTGCACCTGGGCTGAGACTCGGTCCTGGGCACTGCATTGCCAGCACTAGGCTGGGCCAGGTGCTTCGGAGAGGCTCAGAAATCATTTTTCAAAGGACAAATGGACACTTGGAGGAAAGGGAACAGAAAAGGGAACACGGGGAAAAGATGTCCATCCACAGTGGGAACGACCTGTGGAGGGTGCAAGGAAATGGAGAGTGAGTCACTGAATGCAACACAAAGTTAGCGACTGAATCAAACAGCGGCACACACGATGCTTCGTTATTTTTCTTTATTTTGAGGCAAATATTTCTAGCACATGTGTTTGGGGAAATTGGATGTTTGCATTTACACTGAGCAGGTGCTCACAGACCACTTTTCTAAGCCCCTTGGATGTCTGGGTCTCTTGATTCCATGGCGCGGATGCAGGGCAAAGACAGGGAGCACTTTCCACTCCGCACGTGCCCGGGCGCCACAGACGCTGCCCACGCCGTGGGGCGTGAGGCCCACTTGGGTGTCCGCTCAGGTCCGTCTGTGCAGACTCACATCTGTGTCATCTCTTAGGTTTGCACGTAGGAAAAATTGCATTCTCACCAAGAAAGTGAACATAGCTTGTTCACTGTTGGGAGAGACGATGGCTGTCCTTAAATAATTCCCTGCTGTGAGACGACTCTCTCACTGGCCGTGGGCGACAGGCACTGTCCAAGGAAACAGATGGTCCCATTCTCTGGTCAGAGAGAGAAGAGAGAGGCCAACGGCAGTTTTAAAAGATCTATCAACCCACACGGCACTGCTAATTCAACGGTGCATACCTGTACTTAAAAACAGGACGGGGCGAGGTAGTCAGGAGCCAGCGTCATTTAAAAGTAGGAAAGGCTATCCCTTAACTATTTTCAGTCATGTGTAAAGGCAAAAATAAGTATGTTCTTTGGGAATACACACAGGAGGAATGCTCCCCCCACACCTGCAGAGAGAGACAGAGACTGAGACGTGCCATTCAGAAAAGGCGTAAATAGGAAACATCACCCGCTGGTTCACGGCGGCGATGGGTCCGTGCTGGGTGGCGTCTGTCAGTGCAGGCAGTTCTGTGGTGATGCGCCGGTCTCCATTCTGGGGACTCTGGTGTCCTTTGAGCCTCTTTGCGGGTCTCCTTGGCCCATGGTCTTCCACGACCACATCTGAAATGCCTGTTGTAAACTATTCTCTTTTGCAGGGGGATGCAGTACTCAGCCTGCTTCCTACTCATAGGAGTTCAGGGGCTCAAGTGTCATTTTAAGGCTTAAACAATCAAAAGATTTTAAGACTGGGATCAAGATGTACTTGGTGATAGTGTTGTCAAAAAAAGTTAGTGGCCATATAATTTACATGTAGTAACTATGCCTAAAATTATTCCTTAGATAGCGTTTCGAAACCTTCTTTCTTTCTTTACTAAACTCTAAGGTGGCAAGAATAGCATTTTGACCCATCACAGTGCACCCAGAGCCAGCGCCTGGTGTTTACCTGCAGGAACCTTTGCTAGATAGGTGCGGTGCCTGACGTAGTGCCTACGGTGTGGCGGGCGCTCAGCACCTGGTAGCTGTGGACAGGACGTGGAGAGGGCGACCAGCGCCTTCCTTCCGGCTCTGCCGCGGCATGGCTGGGGGTCTCTTGCAGCTATTTCCTCATAATCCAAATCGTTCTTTTATTGTTGCTGCTATTTGCACTTACTCGATTCACCCTCAAATCTTTTTGCACTTTCATGATTCACTGCCAGCCTTGGTGAGGAAAGGACTGGGCTTGAGATCGAGGTACGATGCGAAGCCCGTAGGCAGATAGAAAGTCTTCAAGCGGAACGTGTGCGGGCAGTGGGTTTGTTGCGGGCAGTGGGTTTGTTACCGGCAGCGGCTGGGCCCGCTGCCCTGAGATTCCCCCCACAGGCTCCGCCCACCGCCCTGAGATCCCACGCAGGCTCCGCCCACCACCCTGAGATCCCACGCAGGCTCCGCCTACTGCTTTTGAGCGGAGCCTGCAGTAGGGAGTCCCTATGGACCTCTGGAAATACAGAAGTGACCAAATTGCTTTTTGAAATTTGGTTGGTTGTAATGATATTCACGACATGGCCAGCGTTACAGAGTAACCCAGGGACGAGCTGGAGGTGTGCACTGTGTACACTCGCCGGGCTGCACATCAGAGTCACTTGGGGAGGATTTTACGGCAAGAAGAACGTCCTGCCAGCATTACAGCTTCCAGCCGCGCGGGTAGGGCGGCTGGTCAGGCCTTTCTGGGCCTCCTGCAGGGCGGGCTGGGCCGCGGTGCGCGCGGGCAGGGCCCCCTGTCGCGCTGACGCCGCCTCGCCTGCCCTCCCAGCACATCCTGCTTGTCCAGCGTCAGATGGCGGTGGTGGAGGAGGACGCGCGGGACTTCCAGCTCGCGCTGAAGCACTACGCGGACGGCGCGGCCGCCCAGAGCGGGTGTTTGCGGTGAGTGCCCCGCGCTCGCGCCGTAGGTGCAGAGGGGCGCGTCTGCGGGAGGCGTTTGCGGGTCCTCACGCTTGCGGTGATCAGCGGCCCCTGCACACCGGCTGGGTGTTTCCTCGTTGATGCTTGGACTCTGGGTTTGGTCAGCAGGGCACCATGGGGGATAAAACGCGGAGCGCAGCTGGAGAGGAGCCCTAGGCAGGCCGACCCTCCCACCGCCCGCGGGAGGGTCACCGCGCAGGCGAGGCCCAGCCTGCTCGGTGCACGCAGCGCTGGTGGCGCCCGGGCGGCCAGGCCCGTGGCCAGGGCACCACTCCAGCCTCCATGACTTCGCAGCCTCGGTCCCGACTGCAGACCTCGGTCATTTAAAGAAGAAAGGCTCTCCCGTGGCCACTCCGCCCAGGCTTCTGCCACAGGCGGCTGACTGCGGATCTTGCCCAGTGCCCGCGCCCAGCGAACAGCTGCAGAGTCCCAGGAACGGCGATGTCACAGGCCCTAACCCGGAGCGCCGGCGCTGGCACTGCCACGTGCAGCGGCCCGGAGCCCACGAGGAGCCGTCCGCTCGGAGAATGCCCGCCACGGCCACCCGCCTCGAGTCGCCCGCGCGTTTCGGTGCTCGAGGTGGCTGGGGGCAGCTTCTAGCGCGGGGCGCTCTGAGTTGCAACAGGACCCTCCCCACCCAAGGCCCGCCCTGCCCTAAACCCGGACAGACTGACTGACGAGCGGTCTGGGGAAGCGTCCTCGGGCTCTGCGCCCGCTTCCCCATCAAGAACGTCCCGAGATGGCCGTGCCCGACCAGGGCGCTCAGCACAGGCATCTCCCCCGCCCCCCGCCCAGGGCCGACCCCCACAGCCGGCTGTCGCCCTCCTCTCGAGTGCGGAGGACGGCCGTGCGGGCTGCTTCGTCCTCCTCGCTGTCCACACTGGCCCAGAGCACGCAGATCAAAACCGTGTTCTTTCAGTGCAGTGACTTATTTGCTGAAGGGCATATGCGTAATTTTTTAAAAGGCCACTTATTACAAAGTGAGTATTTGGAAAGGCAGAGTGGACAGACACCAGCCTCAGTGCCGACTGCAGAAGGCAGAGTCTGTCTGGAGCATCCCAGTCTCAAGGGACCGAGTGGCTCCTTCACTTACGGAAAGGGCACAAAGTCTGATATTTGAAGGCTCGGAGATCCTGCGTCTGAGTGGGAAGATGACGGACACTGCTGGGCCAGCCCCAGGGGGCAGCGAATGGGTGCTTTGCGCGCCCTGCTGCAGAGGCCCGTCTGGACGGCGCAGGTCGCCGCCCGGCCTCCAGCAGCGAGGAGAGGGAAGAGGAGCAGCCTTCCTTGTGACGCGAACCCAGGCCGAGCCTCTCCTTCCCGGCGGCAAGGCCAGCTTGTGCCTCAGCGACTGTCGCTCGCTTCGCACTGCGGGTTTTTCAGCTGCTGTCTCGCTTTCACCGGCATCCCGCCCGCCCGTAGGTCGGGATGAGTATCAGCGGCACCGCGCACGGCCCGAGGTGTGTCTGGACTCAGGCGTGTCTGGACTCAGATGCTGTCCCCTATCTGCGTCACCAACCACAGGACGCGCCGCTCGGGCGACCCTCCGGCCCCCGCGGACTCCCCTGCCTGGTGCTCAGCTGGTCAAATCAAGCTGGTCCAGTGTCAGCGTTTCCGTCTGTCCTCCGGTAGGAATGGCGTGGCCTCATCATGGTTACAGGAAACGCAGCCAGAAAGTAGCAATTCAGTATTTACTAGATTAGTCATTTGGTATCCATTTCTATAAAAAAAAAAACTTCACCGTAGTCATCTAATACAGGTCAGAAGGAAATAGACTCAGATGCGATGAATGACTTGCCCAGTCTGACTCCAAAACCCACGTTTAACCGGTCGCCAGCATCTGAGCACCCCTAAGCTGGAGTTTCCTGGACGCTCCTAAACGAAGCAGGGGTGGGATGCACAAGACCCTCCTGTCCCCAGTTCCACTTCCTACTGCTGAAATCCAGGTCACTGAAGGAGAGGCTTCTGCCCTCTAGGTACTGGGCTGGGAGACTCAGAGCTTTGGGGACTGACAGAAGTCAGTCGATTGAGTTTTGTTTCTTTTTTTTTGGTAGGAAAACAATTTTGAAATTAGAAATTTTTTCTAATAGTTGACATTCAATATTAGGTTGATTTCAGGTTTATAGATGATGGTTCGACATCTACTCTACATAACTGAGGAAGTGATTCCCCCCCACCCCCCATAAGTCTGCTCCCTGTCTGGCACCGCACGCAGCTGTTACATTATTCCCTATGCTCTGCCCTGCATCCCAGTGACTACTTCATAACTGCCAGTTTGCACTGCTGAATCCCTTCCCCCTTCTCACTCAGTCCCCCACCCCCTCCCATCTGGCACCCCTGTTTGTTCTCTGTATCTGAGCTTGTTTCAGTTTTGTTCGTTTGTTTAGATACCACATATAAGTGAAATCATGTTGTCTTTACTTCACTTAGCATAATACCTTCTAGGTTCATCTCTATTGTCACAAACGGTAAGATTTCATTTTTTTTTTTTAATGGCTGAGTGGTATTCCATATATGTGCCACCTCTTCTTTATCCAGCCATCTACTCATGGGCTGCTTCCACACTTTTTGAATGAATAAATGAGAGAAATGTAGCCAAAGATTTATTGTTATGTCTATAATAATATACTGAGACTTCATGATGTCAAACCAGAAAACTAAGTTATGTCAAACAGGCATATCGAAGTTACCAACTCTTGACAAAACCATTCCATTTTTCTGGCAGGCACCATAGCTATTTCCTATACGAATGGATGAGGTCGTTTCATACCACATATAGAGATGATTAGAAAAGTTAGTTTTCATCTTGTCTTTAATTTCCTGTGGCTAATTTTGCCTCTTCTTTTCCATTCCAGTATTTCTATACAGAAGCTTTCAAATGAATCTCGCTACATGATTTATGAATTCTGGGAGAATAGTAATCTGTGGAATAGGTAAGTTATGAGCCAGCTTTCTTTACTTTATTCATTTATTTTGCCAGGGAGGTGGCAAAAATATATGATGAATTTTAGGACTTTTAGGAAAAGTTC